TCTTTTCCTCATTTCTTCATCACCATGAACTCTCAAGACCTTGGAAGCACTCATCACTTGCTGGATAAGCTTGGTAGAAGCCACTCTAGTTTGCTTCTGCTAGCCTCAACCCAATTCCCATCTGCCACCAAAAGCTTGCATTTTATGTTTTTCTTGGCTTGTCTTGGCCATCATAGCATTGAAATGCCCCACAAATCCCCTCCAAGACCTAATTCCATCCACATCCTGGATGAAGAGCCTTTAGAAAAGCTTGTACTTGATGACACTTCCAAACAAGATCTACAGTATTGAGTTTGGAGGTTTCCCAACAAGCCACTTAAGACAAGTGGTGTCTTGTTTCCAAAAACTTGCAACACCTGGAGCCACCACCTTGCAATACTCATCACACTCTCCTCTTTGGCTGAAGAACTTGTTGGGGAGCAATGGCCCCATATTGATGCATTGCTGGTTCATGGCCTTCTAGAGTGCTTGGAATTATACCAGCTCAAGTTCCTCAAAAGAATTTGCTATGATCTAAGTATCATCTTGCAAGATCATGCACCTTGCAATGTTCCACTTATATCCAGGATCCATAGTGGTCATCCCTTTATGGTACAAGAAGTGACTAAGCTGGAAGAGGAACCAATCTTTGGGATATAATTTATGATCTTTTTCTAATTTAGAAGGGTTGGGGCTTTTGGCTTTTCTTTCTATTGTAAACAATTAAAAGGAATGACTCGATAGATGAATTTTGCAAGACTTAATTTTGTTATTAACAACAATCTATAATAATAGGAGTGCCAATCTTTTTTGGTAGCTGTCAAATGGAGGGGTAGTAGTCAAAAAAGTTATTTCTTTACTTATAAGGTTTTGTCTTACAACTTGTATGTCCATTGGCTATTGTGAGAGAAGAGGGAAATTTGTGTGTCATGCATGCATGGGCAAAAATCAAATTGGCCTTAATTCCACTCCCACTAAATAGGGCCTTAATCCTCAATTCTCAATTGGGATCCCTTTTAATCTCTTAAGGGTATGCAGATGGTGTGGAGTGAAGGTTAGGGCTCTTGATTTAGGTATTGAAATCCATGCAAGTGAATTCATGAATTTAAACTTGAACACTACCAAGAAATGCCCAATAGTTCAAACACTAATCTTAAGATTTTATAGATATTAACATAAGCATGTGATCACTAGCTTTATTTAGCACTCTTATTATAGAGCTAGTACCTCAATGTAACAGTAAGATTGGCAGCTTCAGTCAAATAATGTCCAATTTTAAGTGAGCACTATTGTGCTTGCTTTTCCCAATTGCCTTTTTCTTTCTTTATCTAGCTACTTGCCAAAGACCTTGGCATAAAGGTTATGCCTACATTCATACTCAAACATAAAACGATCATGGTAGAGATTGCCGGTGCCAAATTTGATGATCTCATAATAAATATATTGTAGAGTTTTATATCAAACTAGAAGGCAAAAAGGCAAAACTGTAGTTAGTAATGAAGCTTAACCTCAAAACCCAAGCACAGAAAGAAATTTATGACTTAGGAAAATATTTTAATTAGTAATAAATATTTATTTATATAACTGAATAAACAGATATTAACCAAATAATAATTAAGCTAGATTCTTAGGTTCAGAAAAATACAAATTTCTTTAATAGTGTCATATACAACAATATGGCCAGTATTTTCGACACATAAAGCCATTTCTTTAAATTTATCTTTCCACACAACATTGCCATCAGTTTGAATTCTTAAATAACAACCAATACCTTCTATAATTATTTTCCAAAATATAATATTACCTTTGTAAAGCACAAGGTTACAATTCAAGTGCAGTAATAATATGAATTGATGATTACTTGATTTTAAAAACTCTCCACTTTGTATCTTAGAGACGTATGAAGAATCATGAATACTTCTAATACATGAATGTCTCCATATACAGTCCATATCATCAGAGAGTTTTTTATTAATTCTTTTAGTATGATATAGAATATTAATAATAAAAGAGTAAATTTTCTCATCATTACTATTTTTAAAGACTAAACTAATAGTTTGTGTAATATATTCATTGACAACATAATTTATTATCTCAAGATCATTACTAACATACTGTAATAATAAATTTTCAAGAATTTGTTTTACTGTCCCACTATAATAATAAACTGCATGCTCAGGAAAACAAGGCAAAGATCATCATAATAAGGTGGGGACTTTAATAAAAAAAGTTATTAAAACTTGAATTCAATTATATGTATATTCAAGTGACTTTTTAGCATACAATTTAGCACAAGGATTCATTATATCAAGATCATGAACTGCTATGAGTAGTGCTTGTAAAATAGTATGTCTATAATGCAAAGGGAAAGTTTTAAAATTACTCCTTTGAACTCTTACTGATAGAAGCTTTCTAATAAAAAAGATTAATACAATATAAAAAATCATTCTATAATATGCCATATAAGAAAATGGGGTAGCTATGATTTTATACATGTCCATTCTTTGGATTTTTACTTGCCGATAAACTAAATGTACAGTAAATGTGGCTACTATGCAAAATGATGTTCTTTATATATAGCATATGCAAATACAATACATAAAGATAGTTTTATTTTATAATATTATTATAAATACCAAAAAAGAATAGCTTGGTAATAGTTTTCAAAGATATAATGCACCTTCTTTCCAATCAATTAAATGTTTTGAGATAATAAAAGCTAGGTGTTCTTAAATTTAAATAGTATTAGGATGGATGACCATGTTTTGAGGAAGACATTTTTTGTGGAGGAGTTCAATCAATTTTAGATAATAATAATGCAATTTAGATGATACAACATTTAAGATATTTAATGATTATTTCCCCAATTGCATGTATGACCAGCTCCATAAGCATGATGTAGTTGATAAGGGAAGAGGTCATTTTTTCATTGGTGAGGATTGCATGTGCAAATATATTTATTAGTCATCTTGCATTTTTCATTTCTTATAGCTTAACTAGTCTCATGTACACATCATCTCCACAATTCAATTACCCTCCACCACAGGAAGCATGCCATTGTCACAATGGCACAATGGAAAGTTAGTGAATACTAAGTTGAGCTAAATATAATATATAAAGATATTTAAAGTTGAGCTACATTAGCTCCATACACTAAGGACACTATTGTTAGCTTCTATTCTGCCATGACTACAATAGTAGAAATAAATTTGAAAATGAATATAAATAAATTTGTGTAATGGTTCACTTTAGGTCATCTTTGGATATGATCCCAGATTAGATAATCTACTCTTAGGTTTAACTTGTACATTTAAACCCTTTTAAATTAAGGTGAAAGGTTTCAAACTTTATAATTGTAAACCCTAGTGATATAATTTCTTCTTTGTTTTAAGATTTGTAGATCTATAGAGTGGAGTTGCACTTGTGGTTATATAGTTTTGATCTTGCAAATTTAGATTTGCAAATCCTTTCCTAATAGTTTTAGATTTGTGAATGAACTATATTTACGGAATGTCAAGATTGTTTTGAATACGATAGTGTTATTCTTGCATCTAGTTTTGCAATTTAGCGTTATACCATATTAGCTAATGGAGTACTTATATCATCACATTAGACCATTAGTACGTTGAAATAACACTAAACTCCATTTGGCTTTATTTTGTAACATTAGAATGTTGAATATTCTATGACTATTTTAATGTTACTTTGTGCTCCCACTCTTTCGCTCTAGACTTGTATATTTAAAAGTTTTTCCATGCTCTAATTCCTTCACTTTTTAGTTTTATACTTAGAAATTTAACTTTATTAAGTGGTTTAAGGCTTTAAAATTAATCCACTCCATTACTTTTAACCCACATATCAAAGGGTTAAGGTTGCATTCTATGGTTATGGTAAGACATCATAGGGTAAAGGGTGAAAACTATTTTTTATTAAAGTTTTATTAAATTTATTAAATATATATAATATTTAATTTTTATCTCAAACTGCACTAAATATGCTATGAGAAAGTTTAAATAATTGAATACATATTCATATAACACATATAATAATAATTTTACTTCTCCACAATATAGTGTTAATAATACTAAATACTAAACATGTAATATTTCCCCTAGAAGTTGTTATGTATTACACTTCATATTTTAGTTTTAATGTTAACTTTTTTACATAATAAGAATTTAGACTAAGAAAATATACTCTCATAACTAGAAAATTAGATTCAAAGTTATAAAAAATTTAAAAAGTGCAAAAGCTTTTGGAAAAAAACAATTGAAGAAGGTTAAAAACTTTTTTATATATATTTAAATCACTTAGTAATGTATATTAAAATTTTCTGTTTAGCAACCATTTCCAATAGGCTATTTGACTACTATTGTTTCTAAATCCTAATTCAACCATAAAAGATATTATTCTAGATTTTTAATAAAAGCTAATTAGATATATTAATTTTTATAATATAGACTATTTCTTAGAGCCAAAGAAGCATGTGAATACAACAGATGTTGTCTTGGGGACAATTGTCATCTTGGAACAATATGCCAAATGCTAAATAAATATAATCCAAGTTTTATTAACTTAGTTATTGGAAGAATAATGTCGGTGTAGAAAGACATTACGAAAGAGACTCTCCGTACAAATATCTCACGAAGCTAGTAGAACCACTTTGGTCTTTCACGGCTCTCCTGGCAGAATCTCGAAGCTCCCCTGCTCTTTTCCTCAGTCCTTCATCACCAAGAACTCTCGAGACCTTGGAAGCAATCACGTCGCTCGTTGGACAAGCCTGATAGAAGCCACTCTGGTTTGCTTCCACTAGCCTCAACCCGATTCCCATCCCCACGAAGAGCTCGCAGTTTAT